TTTTTTTTTTTTTTTTTTTTTTTCTTTGCCACAAAGATTCCAAGCAATATTTTCGAGAATCGTTCCCGAAAACGATGTTTTTGTCATTATCACACAATACTTTCTCTATTTCACCTTTTTTTTTTTTTTTTTTTCCTTTTTTACACAAAATAAATAAATATATTAATCAATTATTATCCTCTTTTTCTATAATTTATTTTGATTACTTTGTTTAACGGAATATTTCGCTAAATCTTCTTATCAAACTATGTTATTAATTGAGTTTTAAGTGGATGGGCCCCACTTAACAATTTTCCTTTTATTATTGGCCTTTCACAACCTTCTTATTCAATAACTATACTGACTCAACTCAGGTGTCGAATAACGAAATTGTAAGTCTCGAACCCGTAGGATCATAGTGAAAATCCATAGTTGAGGATCTCTATATTAGTATGTGTAACAGTTCAAGATCATTGCTAGCAGATATTGTCATTTTTAAATTTTCCCTTAAGAGCTTCCTCTCAAGATTTTAAAATGCGCAACAAGTTTCCACATTCTTATAATAAAAGTTTCATTCCCTTCTGCAATCGATGTGGGGTTTCATAAATGTGTAGAAATGAATCATTTCTTTTACAAGTGCATGGAAACTTCTATTTAGATACGCGTTTTAAAATCTTAAGAAAGAGTCAAAAAAATGACAGTATCTACTAATAGTAGATTTGAGATGTTATAAATGGTATAAGAGATAGATATTAGGTGGTGTGCAAGTGGCAACGAGGACGTTGGGCTCTTAAGGAAAGTGGATGGTGAGATTCCATACTAGTTGGAGAGTGAAATGAAATATTAGTTACGTGAGTGTAAAACCTGTTGATTGAATTTGAGGAATAAGGAAGGGAATGGAAAGGAACTAAAAATGACATCCCAAATAGTCCAATTATTATGTCGGTGGAGACCAATAAAACTCACAACTATTGTTCTTACCATAAACAAAGGCAAATCCAATGAAGTGGAGACTTTGAACATACATTTGGAACCCAGATTGGGAGCCATAATCGGTTGATATTAAACAGATTTTGGGAGTGACAGGCAAAGAGGATGAAGGTGCAACTAGCATTAATTTTCTTTTTTCTTTTTTAATCGTACTTGGAAAAATGATGTGAAGAACATGTAAAATGTAAAATTTACAGTAATTGAAACAAAACATGTTTCATAATTATATTAAATAACACAAATATTCTTTTTTGCTTTATTCTCCAAACCCACCAAACAAAGTTTGAAAAGTTCGAAGCAATCCGATGCTTTTCCGACACCAAAACCAACACAAAGAATCAGCTGGCGTCCATTTTAATCCACATTTCTGCAGTATTGTGTGAACTGAAATTTGGTGGCCACCGTGGCAACCACCGGCTTCGGCGGCCGCCGACGATTCTACCAAATACGAAATGGGTCCAATGGCTTACGTTGATTAATGCCTGTTGGGTAGTGACAGAGGAAGCCGTGCAGCTTTTGTACACAGCATGTCCAAAGTTCAAACGTTGAAATATGTTTTGATTGCTTTCACATGTGCAGCTCCTCCTCATTCAACCCAGTTTTTGAATTTAAATCAAGGGTTAAGACAGTCGGTGAGAACGTGACATGTGTTGGATTTGACTATAACCGAAATATGTCGAAACAAACAACTGGAGTTTGAAATTACATTCAACCACATAGCGTCAGAATCCACACATATACAAAAGTCAAAACTTGGGTTGCCGTCAGCTTGCACGTGAAATTTTGTCCATGCCAAGCCAAATGAAGTAAGAGACTAGTGAAAAAAAGAGAAGCTTTTGGCGTAGAAGAACCCACTGTCCCCCAAATCGACACACTATACCAATCTTTTGAGAAGTTGAAATATTGGAAGGAGGCAGCAGAGTCAAATAATCACACGTTCTTGGGTTTGAATCACCGTCTTAAGCAAGCCTTCACAATCCACAATCAACCGATCTCCTCCCCTTATATATGTCCCAAATTCTCCTACTGAAACTCACAAACTTAGGTGCTCAATGGCAATGGAATTGAGGGGCACAGCATCAGCCAGACGTCTCTGTTTCGTTGTGGGTGTTCTGTTAATGGTGGTTTGGACGCAATTTGCAAGTGTTGAAGGAAGGGTTCTAAAAGGAGTTGCAGATAAAGCGGTGGTGGAGCCAATTGGAATGGTAGCTTATATGGCTACACTTGATTCCTTAAGTGGCAGTAGTCGCAGTGCATTTAGCAGCTTGAGCTTCGTGTTGTCGTCTGGGCCTAGCAAAAAAGGTCCCGGACATTGACCGTGATCTTCAATGTTTGTTCTTCATTGTTGTGTGTATAATTCTGCACAAAAATTCCAACTTTTGTATCAGTGTTATGGAGGGAGAATTTGTATCTTCATTTATTCCAATAACATAGTTTCATTATGAAGTTGGGCTCTACTTTTTTCTGCTTTTCTTGTCACGAAATGGTGTCCCATACTATCCTCAAGTCTCTAGCCTCGTTTGAGAAGACGGTTTTTAAAAAAAAGAGATTTTTGAGAAAAAATTTGTAAGCAAAGTTGATAGAAAAATTAAAAGAGCTATAAGCCAACAAAGAAACATTATCGCTAAAATAGCATATAACTCATAATTGACGCCAAGTCACATCCTCCTATAATGCATTTTGAGGCATTTCAGGTCTACGAAGGATAAGCATGATTACGCCGAAACGTCATACACTTACTAAATACAAAAAAGAAGCTATACACAATAAAAGCGATAAAAGAAAGCAATAAAGTGATACAAAGTAATGAGTTCGACATGTAACGGGCATGCAGTCATGGAGCAACACGCCTTGGACAAGCATGATCGTGACATAGAACATCTTGAAGGCTTGAGATAGCAATGTTTATTAGGAAATATTAGGCAAGAATAGGTCCAAGCTTTAGATTTGCCCATACGAACCAAGATCACGTCCAAAAGATAGCAATCCTAAAGATAAGATGAATGAGAAAGATTTAAAGGAAATGAAAGTTATGAACGGTTCTAATAAGGTGTGCCTTCTTTTCTACTAGCTGAACCATAGAACTTGTAGGATGACTGGTATTGGTGTATGGACATAATTCTCACGACAAAAATTTAAAGAACTAACTTTTATTTCCAAAATATGACAGAATTTTACATTCATTTTCAACATTCATACCAGGATACATGCTAACACACAGCATATTAGCAAGCTTAGATACAACATAATACCCAATTAAGCACACAATCAGACATCTCTCCGAATGGTCGGTAGAGATTATGATATTGACCCTTGCGAGATTAAAAACAATAACACGAACACGCATAATGGTTATTAGAAATAAAATCAAAGCTGTGATAGTAAATGAGTGATGGGAGCACGAGGTTTGAACATAGCTACCAAAGGGCTGGATTTGGGCATGGTGAGTCCAATTCCAGGAGTCAAGTCTACTTCCTTGTTGTCGAGTCTCTCCCACTCAAAGCACTGAATCAGAGTGGCCAGCGCCAACCCCACCACTCTGTGCGCAAGGCCAGCCCCTGGACACGCCCTTCTCCCCATCCCAAATGGCAACAATTTACTTACTTCCACACTCTCGCCCTCTTTAAACCTCTCTGGTCGGAAGCTATTGGGATCTTCCCACACTTTTGGGTCTCGATGGATGGCCCATGCATTCACCACTAACATGGTTCCTATCGGAACGTCAAACCCTCCAATTGTGCAGTCTTCAGATGATTCTCGTGGAACCAATATTGGAAGCGCTGGAAATAGGCGATAGGTCTCGTTGATTATGCCTTGAAGATAGTGTAGCTGGTTAAGATCCATCTCCTCTACCAGCCGTTCGTCCCCAACATGCTCGTTTATCTCAGTCCATGCTTTCTTCATCGCGGTCGGATGGTTGAGGAGTAGCGACAACGCCCACTCTAGTGTTCCCGCTGTTGTGTCAGTTCCCGCAGCCAGAAGAGTCTAAACCATTCATTTATTTACATAGGTTAGAAATTACGAGACTCAAGGATGGTATAATATTATACATTTAAAGTGTTAACTCTCATGATTTTGCTTTTAACTCCTCAAAATGCCTCGTAACAATGGAGATATATTCCTTACTAGTAAATCCATTATTAGCGGAGGTGGGACTCTTCTCCCAACAATCCTCTCCTCGAACTAAGTGCATAACGAGGCCTATGTACCCCTCGAACAATCCCTCCTTAATTGAAGTCTAACTCCTTTTCTGGAGTCCTAAAACAAAGTACACACTTTGTTCGACGCTTGAGAGTCATTGTTTACTACACTTTCAAGACTCACAACTTCTTTGTTCAACCTTTGAGAATTCCATTGACATAGCTAAGTTAAGAGCATGACTCTGATATCATGTTAAGAATCACGGTGTGATTCCACATTAGTTGAAGAGGGGAATGAAACATTCTTAAGAACGTGGAAACCTCCTATTAGTAAACTCGTTTTAAAACTTTGTGGGGAAGCTCAAAAGGGAAAACTCATATATGCTAGACACCTGAGTAGTGTGCCAGCAAGGACACTGAGCTTTGTTAGGAGTGGATTATGAGACCCCACATTAGTGGGAGAAAAATGAAGCATTTTGTATAAGGGAGTGGATATCTTTCCGTAGTAGACATGCTTTAAAATCTTAAAAGAAACCTAGAGAGAAAAACCAAGAAAAAACAATATTTGATAGTGGTGGGTTTGAGTTGTTACAATTACTAATCTAACCAATGGAATAATATTGTCCATTTTGAGCATTAGCTCTCGAGACTTTGATTTTGGTTTCTACAAAAGTCCTCGTACGAATAGAGACGTATTCCTTACCTCTAAATTCATTATCAACCCCTTATCTAATAGATGTAGGACTCCGTTCCCAACAATTTTAACAACATAATCATCATAAATTTACGTGGAGATTTATAATTTTGCTTACCAAGAATTGGCCCTTGATGATATGGTCCTTGTAATATTCAGGTTCCATTTGTTGCATGGACAGCAGACTATCAATCATGGTCTTTCGTTCATTGTGATCAGCTTTCTTGTTCCGACGTTCATCAATCAAACTTTGTGCAAAAGCATCGCCATCCACCCTCACTTTTGCCAACTTCTTCCTGAATCCTTGATAATCCACCAATTTCAAAACCGACAAGAAGTCAGCTGGATACGATGCTCCGCTCAGTAGAGGAACTTGCTTCATTGTGTTCTTCAACTCCCTCGCCTCCTCACTATCATCCACGGCTTCATCTCCAAAGTAACGCTTCCCAACCATCAACATCAGCGCAATATTGAAAGACAGCTCCGTCAATTTGGACCTTATCTCCACTCGGACATTATTTTTGCCCGTAATTCGGTATAAACTTTTGAGCCATAATTTAACCTCCTGTTGTCGGATGTTAATTAATGCGTTGAGACGGTGCGTGGAGAGTAGCTCAGTGGTAGCTATGCGGCGCATGATGCGCCAGTGCTGGCCGTATGCAGTAGCACCAACGGCAGTGTAGTCATAATTGAGAATCTTCCCGGAAATCATACGAGGGCGGCTGGCAAATATGATGTCGTTTTTGGAAAAGCACTCCTGGGCGGCGGCGGGGGAGGAAACAACCACCACGGGGCGGAAACCGAGTGACAGCGACAGGATTGGACCGTACTTTTGCGAGAGATCTTGCAGCATTTGGTGGAATGGCTCTTTTAGAAGATGGAGGTGGCCGATTACTGGAAGGGAAGGTGGACCGGGTGGGAGATTTTTGTGGTCCGCTTTTCTGAATTTGAAAATCATCAGGAGAGCTAAAACGAGGATCAACAATAGGACCTCAAAATTAGAGAACAACAACAACGTCTCTTCCATGGTTGAATGCATTATGTTCAAAGTTCGGGTGGTGCGATGGATACCGTACCCATTGCATGCTTTTATAGACGGGAGTGATGGTAGCAACACCATCACATTTTTTTTTAAATATTCATTATATTTTTTTTTAATTATTTGATTGCTTAATTACTACCTCTTAATCGATTTATAATAAAAGATTTAAACGTTTATAAAAATAAAATTGAAGAATATTTTTTTAAGTGATAACTAAATCTTGCTTTTTTAAAAGTCAGTAATTAAAAAAAGAAGAAGAAGAAGAAGAAGAAGGGAGATGCAATTTGGCACGTGCGAATATGTGAGAGTTGAGGCCCATGTGGCTTAAAAGTTTTCAATGACTACATGATTGGAATGGGTGTGTAATTATCGCAATTCTAGTGCGCTGTCTTTTAACGAAAAAAGGAAATTTACTAGCATGACGTATTAATTAAATCATTTTTTAATTTTCTTTTTTATTTTGAACATTAATATAATTTAATTTTAAATCTCGTCTTGTAATTTTAAAACATTTTTGTTCGGAAAAAGTTTTCATGTTTCGTGAATTTCACGGGTTTAGATTTTTAGATTCAAATTAAATTAAGTTAGGAAATATAATTAAAATTGAATAATGTGAATTAAAAAAAAAAAAAAAAAAAAAAGTGAAAGAATCTGTTGAAGATAAGGTTTAAAGAAGGTTGCTAAATGGGGGACACTGTTCGCAGTGCTTTTTCTTTTCTTTTTTTAATTATAATAAAACTATTGTTTTCAATTTAATATTAAAATTACACATTTCAAAAGAATTTAATTTTAATGGTTTTCAAAGAATAGATAAAAGAAAAGGCTAATGATGAAACGTGGCGCACTGTGATTGGCCCATGTGTCTGGTGGATTTTCAACCGTATTTTAGATATTTTTTAATTAAAAAAAATGGAATATTAATGAAACAGTTGAAGATAATTTAGAATTTTTTGATTAATATTACTTTATAATTATAACATTTTCTTAAAAAACAAAAAAAAGGGAACATTTTAGATGATTAATTAAGTGTATTTATAAGTACAGCAATTTAGATTAGATTAGAGAGTAAAAAAAATAAAAAAAAGGAAGGAAGTGTGGGTGGAATTGTATGTTTTATTTTGTGGTGATAATAACTGTTGGATGATGAAAGTTCCACATCGGCTAATTTAGGGAATGATCATGGGTTTATAAGTGAGGAATACTAACTCCATTGGTATGAGGCCTTTTGGGGAAGCCCAAAGCAAAACCATGAGAGCTTATGCTCAAAGTGGACAATATCATACCATTGTGGAGAGTCGTGTTCGTCTAACAATAACAATTTGTACCATTTTGATGGGATGTTTACATTTGGAGTAATTCATCCACTTATGTGTATCTTTTAAAATTCATAGCATGTGTCTTTTTTCCTCAAAGGTGGCGTTTTTGGGTCACTACTCCTCTTAGTCTGTTCTAATCCATGAACACATTAACCAAGTTTTGGGGTTTACGTATCCAACCTAAAAAAAACTGCGTTAAGCAAGTCATGGGATTATAGGTAACTGTATGTTTTTATTTTTGGCCCTTACATTAAAACACCACAGGTAAGTTGTCGAGGGAGTAAAGGAATCCTAGAATCCGAGGTTTGCGCATTGCCTTCAAAGGGCTGGGCTTCGCCAATGTCAGGCCATTTCCTTTCACATATCTATTTCCTCAGGGCCAACAATGCCCCCAACCATTCACCACCCACGCGTCTCCTTTTAAGAATATACGCGTTTGATAGCAAAAAAAATATTTCGTTCTCCTCTCACAATCTACCTCCTTCGGGACCCAGCGTCCTTGTTGGCACTCGTTCTCTTTTCCAATCGATATGAGACCTCCCAATCCACCCCCCTTCAAGGCTCAGCGTCTTTATTGACACATCGCCGAGTGTCTGGCTCTGATACCATTTATAACAACCCAAGCATACCGCTAACAAATATTGTCTTCTTTAGGTTTTTTCTATAACGCGTCTGCGTCTGTTAGTGAGAGATTTTCACACTTTTAAAAAGAATGTTTCGTCCTATAAATTGTTTATCCATGATTGTGTTTCCTCTCGCATATAATTTATGTTTAAAACAACATAAAATTGAAGCAACATAAGTGGGAAAAAGGCTCAATATGACCAAAGAAAGAAAGAAAAAAAAATAGGCACTCCCCATAGTTGGAAATCTACCAAACAAAATCTGCATAGCCCCCACAAGCCAAAAATGGCATGACTTGAAAAGAATGATAGATATACAACTATACAAATGCTACATTAATAACCCATAAGACTGAATAAGAATCATTTTGGGCATACACAACGCGGATTTTGGAGAACTTGAGAAATAGAGAACACATCTGTTGAAGAGCATATAATATATATTTAATTGAATCTTACAAAAATTATTTGGAAAAAGAAACAAAGGAGGAGGACGCATTTCCCCATAAAGGTTGCACCCAGGAAAAAGCTGAAGGAAGGCAAGCAAACCCAGAAGTCCACGTGGTCACGCCTACCAATAGAGTCAACACCACTATTTCGACCGTATTTCATACGACAATCGGACGTAGTCTCCATTCCCAGAGCGCTTCAACGATTATGGAGAGGATCCGAAGTGTTTGGGACCTTCCTCTTGCTGGCAAAGAGCGCACTGAATGAGTGTCTCCATGGCGGCGACGGCAGCTGCTTCCGGTGCTTCTCCTGCATTTTTGACAGTGGATGTTGATGGATGACGACGACCCCCATTGTCCCTTTGCTTTCTCCAGAGACCAGAAGAGTGAAAATCGCCATGAACAGAAGCAGCCGAGCTTCCATGGACACTGGAAATGGCATATTGAAATAGAGTGGTTAGCGAGAGAGAACGAAGGGGGCAGCAGAGGAGTTTCAGAGGACAAAACCCGGCTGCTTACTTCTTAACAATGGCCTTCTCAGCTTAGTTGGAGGGAAAGGTCAGAGGGAAAGAAAAGTGTTTGAATGAAGGAAAAGTCATATGGCTTTGTATGGCATGGCAGGGCAGTATCGAAGGATAAAGAAGAAAAGTGTAAGCTTAAATGCAATCGAGTAGACAACCTGCAAGACCAGCAACACAGCAGACGAGACGAGGCCACTTTTCCTTTTCAGCAGAAGCCTTTTTAATATTCTTTCTTCCATCGTGCTGCTTTTCTTTCTATCTTTCAGTCCCTTCAACCTCTGAAGCAGAGGGTCATTTTCAGTTTAACCCTCTACGTAAATAAAGCATTTGTAGCAGCATATCCATCCTGGCTCTTCTCTTCTCTCGCTTCTGCCTTTTCCCTCTTCGAGCAATCCTTGTCGAAGTTAGAGACCATTTGCCCCTTCAGAAAACTTTTAACAATGCATGCACGACAATGTGCTACATTTGATGCTTTTCAAGGCACCCTTTATAGTTCTTGCAATTATTAGACATGTGGTTTATGTACATTGCCAACTCGAACTTCGAAAAAGAAAATTTCAGAAACTCTATGCTTCAAATGGGCTTCCGGCCCAATGCATGATGTGCATTTGCTGAATTTTGTACAGTACTAAACACACCCTAAAATCTAATAACGTTGGGTTATCTGTTTTTTTCAAAAGAAATCTTTACAAGGGAAGAAAATACAGTAATGTTGTGGGAAAAATGCAAGCTTTGGCTTCATGCTTTGGCTTGCCTTCCAATGCACAAAAATGTGTTCCATTCCGAGTAGACACTCACCTCTCAACTAATGCCCTATAGAGCTTGTACAGATTGAAACTGAACCATGCCTCTGGAATTCAGATTCCTATCTAATATAAATTTTTATTCGCTCCCATATACTAAGCTCCTAACTACTATTGTCATCTTGTACAGTCATATTCTAACATCTTCAAAATATGGAATAGGAATCTCTGGAGGTGAAGGCATGATAGACACAAATTTGTACTGCAATAAGACAGGAATGTACGAAATAAAAATTAACGGCAGTGCTTAATTCCAAGAACTCACAGAAGCTGAAGTTTTCTAAATTCATCATATAATAGGAACCTTTCTATCCAGCATAAAAGTGGGCATTAACCATGAAAATACCTTATGTTGTTTGTATTTCTCCCTTATAGCTGCCAAAGCGCCTCCTCTTCTACTAAGGTATAAATCATGTACAAGTAGAACGCAATCTTTCATATCAGCTGGCTTGTATCCAGTAAAATGCTCCAACCTGGAGGTCTACATGACATAAAATATGTTACACATGCCCAATCCCTACCAAAAACAAGATGATGCATAATCCAATGTTTTAGAAATCTTACCCAAGGATGCTTCTTTGGTTGGATCATAAATCGTGCTAGAAATATAACAGATGCAGCAATGAGAGACGGTAAGAATTTGACACAGTTGTAGTCTAGTAGACTTAACTCAGCAAGATAGTAGCCCAAGAATTCAAATTGCAAAGTATTAAACTGCAAAAACCAATAAGAAATAAGTAACTGAAATTCATGTTAGGCATCCTTACAATTAACAGAGGATTAGGAAGCTACTTCGTAAGTCTCTTGAGCAATCATTGTGAATCTCCTGCACATCAGAATAATGTTGCGTAAGTTACCAAACCATGCAGGTTCTGCACATTTTGCATAATTACTAGCAGTAAAAGGTAGACAGACCACTGCACTTGCCTTAAAAATGTCTTTATTGTGGGACTTCCAAGTTCAAATTCCAGTGATTTCAATATATCTGCCTCCATCTCAACCACCTTCAGAATCAAAATAAATACAAAATGCTATGATCCAACCACTTTTGATTATGATGAAACCTTCCAGAAAATTGACAGAAAATTAAACAATAGATGAGTAGCAAATTACCTCTTCTCTATTGTAGGTATTGTCTGTTATATAAACAAATTCTTCAACATGCGGAGGACTGATTTCTTCATACTTTCTAAGTACACACAAACATACGAAAAGAAACAGAGTTGAGTTAATTGGGGGATTTTATGTGAACCAAGAATGAGCCAGAGGGCAAAAGATCAGTGGGGGTTATCAGCAGGCTTACGAGGCAATGAGCATGGCAGAAACCCCCAACAATTGAAGTTTTTGCCTGCTGATTGCGTTTAGAGATAAGTATCTGTCAACATATGAAATAGAGAGGTAAAGAGTGTCTGAAACAAGCTTGTATTCTTTTGCAACTTCAACCAACCAATCCACCAGAATCCCCCTCATATTGGCACTTATATCCTTTTGTACCCTCCCGATGTAATCTGGTAAAGGTCTTCTTCGTGGATCAGTCTGAATGTTCAAATAAGAATCAGCATAGGCAGAGATCCAGGAAATTAGAAACCCCCAGCACACACACACTTCCGTATTAATCTAAGATGTCAGGACACTATAGTGATACCATTGAAATACAACAAATCAGATTAAAACTAAGATTTGAAGACAGGATGATATATCATAAATCGACCAAAAACGAAATGGATGCCCTCCCCCCACCCCCACACAAAGTGGGCAACTAATCTTCTTGCATCAGAGCTAAAGGGTATGTGAAAATTGGAGCAATATATTCCATTCCTAGACAAATCCTCATGAGAACGTCTAATTTTAATGTAGGAGCGATTAAACTGGAGGACCGTGAATATACGAATCAATAGCAAAGCCAGTAATCAAGGATTAAATAGAAACAAGTTGTAAAAATCCCATTAATCAAAGTGGAGTATTAATTAGGGGGGGGAGAAAAACTCGAACCTCCATGGCGCGAAGGTACTCATAAATATCAGAGGCGAAAACCGTGCACATTTGCGGGTCTTCGGAATTGCCCTCATCCGATAGCTTGACATCAGCATCCGGAAGCGTATTAATTTGAGCGGCAGCACTTGTCTCCGCTGTATCCCTCGATTTGAGTCTCCGTCTGTGCCTGCTGGGTCTGGACCTGGAAGTCCGATCGACGGAAGAAGAAGTAGCATTCTGTAAAATAGGAAGCTCTCCGAGAACGACTCTCCTCTTGTTAGCAGAGCGATCGTGGGGGGTAGCAGCCTCGGCGGACCTCTTCTTAGAACCCCGAGTGAGTCGAAATATATTCTCCTTATCCGCCATAGTTAGAGTCGACCTGGGATCTGAAAAAGGGGGCTGGAAAAGACAAAGTGAGAAGGAGAAGTGGGTATGTTGGTGATGGTTTAGGTGAGGAATTGGCGGTGGCGCGGGTAGAATATGTACACTAAGAAAGAAATTGGGAATAGATTTTGGGGAAAATGAGAAGCGCCAGATTTGGTTTTCAAAACATGAAAACCAAATTAAGTGAATCCGCAGAAACATTAAGGTCGCGCGCTCTTCCATTCCGACCAACCTTTTCACTTCAGATTTTATGGCTCTATTTTTAAAATTTTCAGACTTCCCCATTTTCGTTCTTCCCGGGTTTTAAGCTCAAACGCCACCGTTTTGCTCTTTTCGGAACAATTCTCCCGCCCCCTCCCTCTACCAAATGTTTGTGCCCCAACCCAAATCTTAATTAATTCCCCAATTTCTCAAATTAAAATACTTCTACTTGCCTAATTCGTTAATCAATGAATTACAAAGCACCCAAATTTGAATTAAAAAGGTTAGAACACCCAATGTCGAATCAGGACAATTAAGGGTTGTTGTTGTTGTAACAAAATGCAAAAGAAGTAAAAAGTGTAGGAAGATGAGAGCAAGATCTTGACCATGCAGACCAGAAACAACGGCATATAAACTTTAAAGAAAGTGAGTCCATGTTTAATGAAATTTTAATGTACTTCGGGGGATTCAAAATTCAACGCGTTTTATGAGGAGGAGGAGGAGGAAGTCAGATGTGAATGGGACACCCACCAATACCCTCTTTCAGCAATCACTAATGTTACTACAAAGCTAAAAGGGTGCGGCTTTTCGGGTTTCCATGTCCCCACCGGCCACCACACCTTGCTTTGCTTTCCCCAAATCTTTAGCCTAACGACACATCAGGCAGAATCCCTCGAATTTGTTCTTTTTTTGGTAGACTTTTAATATAAAGTTGTAATCGATTTTTTACCCGGCAACTCCAGATGGTTCGCCCGATTCCTGAACTGCGGTTATCACCGTCGGGAACAATCGACGAGGTTTCTAGGGATCGGTCTCTCCATGGGAAAACGTGGATGAAATTTTCAGTGATTGTGTATTTTCTTCGGGAAGAAGATTGGAAGAAGACGACGCTGGCGGTGCCATTCTCACGTCGCGAGTGACCCGATCTAGTCTCTCAATCAGGGAAGGACGAAAGAATCAAATTAACAGAAGCCATCCATTATGGACTCCGAAATGAATTCACGTACCCGATAACACGATTGTCGACCAAACAACTCCGAACGGCCGCAATCTGCGAGCGGATTGCCTGTGGAGATAAATTCGGGCGAGGCGTCGCTCCTAAATATTCAAAGCAGAGCCAGTCGGTGTTCGTTCGGAGACAAGCGTCGCTCTTAAATGTTCGGAGCTTTCCGGAGGAAGCAGGGAAGAGTAAACCTGTTGAATCACAGAACCACGCCGTTCGTCTCCCAATCTTTCGCCGATTGAAATTTTTGAAACGCTGAAAACGGGAACTGAGGATTAAGTTGAAGATTGGGGTTACATACGCGACAAATGTCCACCCGCGCTTCAGAGGAAATGCACTGCCGCAGTGCTGCTGGAGCAATTACTGCAAAATTTATCATTCCAACTGTAAAATTAAGCCGCAGAGAACCAAATAGCAGCAGAATCGATACAACAATCAATCAATCAATCAAAAGCAGCAGCACTAACCTTACGAGCAAGCACTTCGATTTCCTCAACGAGGATTCCATCCACATTTTCCGCCTGGCAGAGCGTCGTGATCTCCGACAAATCGACTTCAGAATGCCCTAAATTGAATCGTCCATAACAAACCGAAATCAAAATAGTCTCCAAATTTATCTCGTGATATTCGCCGCCGGGAATTTAATGCTGAATATTCTGTCGTCCTGACCAACAGTAAATAGAGGTACACTTCACGATCTCATTTCTCACCGCCGAAAGTGGATTTCATGTGTAGCTTATTGCGATGATCATTGCAACTGTTGCCGCTTCACATGAACCCATTAAAGTGCTTATTATTTAATTAATAACCACCCAATAAGTCGACATCTAGAATTATTCTTCCATAAAATAAAATATCTTAAAAAACTTATAATATGCATAACACGCAAAATAATAGATGATAATTCAAGTTCATAATATATGATTGTTGTCATAATTGTTGTTATTTATTTCTTTGAAAGTACCATATCATTAAATTTGAGAAAAACAAAATTAGAACCTGGACGTGTGTTCTTGCCTCAACTTGTGGATAGCCATAATGAGAACAACGCTTAATTCGATACTCAAACTGTTCCTCTGCAGATGCACCAGAAAATGATGAGAACAATATCACCGTCACAGTCAACACATGGTTCTTGATGAGTTCGTCTTTTCTTGTTTTTAGATGACTTCAATTGATTATTATAACGCTTTCCATAATTCTCTATCATCGGCAAACTATATTATCAGTTCACTAGTTTCTGTTCAACACCCACATCAATATAGTTATGGCCTATGGTGGCCATAATCAAAATTGATCACAGTAATTAATTAGTACTACCCTAAACGTTAGAGGTCGTACTTGTAAAAGTCCAAGCCCGCACTCGATATTATTCTTGAGCTTCTCTCGAGGCTTTAAAAAAATATCTCATAGGGAGAAGGTTTCACCTTGAGACCAATGTCGTTACTAACACATCATTCATTATCTCTTTTGACTTTTCTTTTTACATTTTTTCTCAAAATTTTTAGAACGCTTGATAGAAAAAGTTTTAACACCCATTATAATCTCGATGGGATCTCTGGGGTTGGGCTGTTACAACACTAATCCGAAAATCAATGCCATGGGTAATGATTAAAAAAAAAAAAGTTCATAAAAACAAAAACCAAATAGACATAGTTCAATTTAGATGATATATTTTCCTTATAAAGAAATTAAGTAGGAGACAAAAAAGTGGATTTCTGATCTGTTCATAGCGAACTAAAATCCCTTTTGCAATTGGCACGTGGCGTCGTCATGGGACCAGGTGGGTGCTGGGTGGGCAGGGCCCATGAAGAGATGGCGGCGAGCGGCCCGAGAGATCATCATACCCTCCACATTGGCATCATCTCAATTGCCCATTGGCCCACTGCGATGACCTGGATTACATAATTTTCCATTTATTATTACTCCCTTTAAAAGCTGGATTATTCTGTTTATTCCCTTTACAAAGCTAGAATCACTGATTAATCCAGTGACGCTCAACTGGATGCCATTTGGGGCCGAGAGGAGGGGGTGTCCCGGCGAAGAGTTGGCGGTAGGATCTTTGAGAGGGAGGCAGTGGGCAGAGTATTGATATCAGCCCAAGGCATTGGACTCACATTGCCCGAAGCTCTTCCCCTCCAGGCACTCCCGATAACAAACCCATAAAAGAATCGAAACAACCAGCGAGATGTTTCTATACCTTTGTACAAAAAATGTATTATTTTTCTCTTCAATCGAAGTGAGATCTCACAATCGACCCTCATTTGACACGTCGTCCGTATATGACTCTAATACCATTTTGACGATTACAAACACTTTTCCAAATGATAAATTTGGTCAAACAAATATTGATCAGCCTATGGTTAAATCATCAATTGAACCCACAGATGATTGGTTGACTAAGCTTAACAATTCACAATATGAACTCGATTAAACATAACTAAGCAAGCTTATTAAAACTTATCCGAACGACCTAAATCTACAATAATTACACCAATAGTGTTGAAAGAAAAAATGAGCCATGTCGCATTCCAAAATTGAATATGAATATTACTGGTAAGTTATTTGTTAATCTTATTTTATGAGATATTTAAAGAGCATTGACCTCGAAAGATGAAGCATCTTAGTTCGGTTGATGCTCTGCTCCGCTTGGTCGGAAAATGACAAAATTGAGACTAGATCCCGCCGTCTCCGTCGCGTCCCGACAACACACTGTCCCCTTCCCCGACCATACCTTCCACCGCCCCATTATTATTTATTTCCTCATTTAAGATCTTATCACATTAGATAGTTAGAAACTGTGTCCGTTTTCTATGCAAAAAACAACCAAGTTGTTCTTTTTCTCTTTCCATTGGCTGTTTCGGCACGCCACTCCTTACACCATGTGAATTTGAATCAATATACAACCAAATTTTTTACAAGTTGTCCCAAGACCACCGAAACAACAACACACCACACCACACCGCTTCAAATAAAAAACGCAACACGAACCAATAACTACCTCTCTGTACTAGTAGATATTATTCTCTCTAGACTTTATTACGTACTTTTAAAAAACATCTCATATTATAAAACATATCTTTTTCAATTTGGGATTATAAAATATATTTTTACTGATTAATCGAACGTGCCCAAATAATCTGTCAACTCGATTATTTATGTAACTATCAGAGATTGAAACGGTGCAGTGTGTGGGCGAAGGGTCAGTGGTAGCAGTGAAGCCATGGGAGCAATAATCCTATACATTCCACTGTTCTTAGTGTTGTATGTATTGACAGAGCAATTTATTCACAAGATTAGAAACCTCCCGCCGACCCCTTTCCTCTCGCTTCCAATCATCGGCCATCTCCACCTCTTGAAGAAGCCCATGTACCGGACGTTAGCGGAGATCTCCAACCGGTACGGTCCAGTTGTGTTTCTCCGGTTTGGATCCCGGGGGGTTCTAGTGGTCTCGTCTCCTTCCGCGGCGGAAGAATGTCTGAGCAAGAACGACGTCGTGTTTGCCGACCGCCCTCGTCTCCTCATATCCAAATGGTTCGGGTACAACAACAGGAACCTCGTATGGTCGTCTTATGGAGACCACTGGCGCAACCTCCGCCGAATCTCCACCGTTGAAATCTTGTCAACTCATCGCCTTCAGATGCTCGCAGGCGTCCGTTTGGACGAGGTCAAATCTTTGATTGGAAGGCTGGCGAGGGGTGAAAACCAAGTGCAGGACATGAATAATGCCTTTTTCGATCTGACTTTTAACGTCATGCTGAGAATGATCGTGGGAAAGCGGTTTTACGGTGAGGACGTGGAGGATGCTGACGAGGCACACAGATTTCGGGAGCTACAGAGCAAGTCAACGCAGTTAGGTGGCAAGACAAATATGGGAGATTTTATCCCGCTGATGTCGTGGTTGGGACTTGGGAGGGCGGCGGAGAAAGAGATAATGGAATGCCACCAAAAAAGAGACGCTTTCATGCAGAATTTGATCAACCAGCACAAGAACAGAGCAATTGAAACAGAGCCCCACAATTTATTTCGCGATGGGAGGAAGAAGACGTTGATTGAAGTACTGCTAGAGCTACAAGAATCCGACCCAGATCAGTATAATGACGAAACCATCAGAGCCTTAATGCTGGTAATCACTTCTCTTAGCTTGTTTTAATGTTAATAAAGTTTAAACTTACGTTCCATGGGGCAGGTTTTGTTGGCTGCAGGCACGGAAACTTCCATGAACACGATGGAATGGGCCCTGTCTCTTATGCTGAACAATCCAGAAGTTTTACAGAAAGCCCAGCTCGAAATTGACCAAAAAGTCGGCCACGACCGTCTGATGGACGAATCTGACATGGCGAACGTACCCTTCCTACGTGGCATAATCAACGAGACATTGCGAATGTACCCTCCAGCTCCACTAATGGTACCTCATGAATCATCAAAAGACTGTAGCGTTGGAGGGTATCATATCCCACGTGGCACTATGTTATTTGTGAATTTATGGGCCATTCATAACGACCCTAAGATTTGGGCTGACCCAAGAAAGTTTGACCCCGACAGGTTTGTGAAGGTGGACAGTGAAAAGCTTGGGTTCAAGCTGCTGCCATTCGGGTCGGGGAGAAGGGGGTGTCCTGGAGAGGGATTGGGGCTTCGAGTGATAGGCCTTGTATTGGGCTCCTTGATTCAGTGC